AGGGGAACTCTAAGCTCTGACCCCACAAGCGAAAGGAGTGGGCGGACGTGCGATGAAGGGTCGGTAAAACAGATCACATTTACCATGTCCCGAGAAATTTACATGAGCTCAACTTTTTCCTAACGACACGGTCAATAGGTTGGTTTGTTTACAACAATGAACACGCGCTTTTCAACATTACAGATCCCAGCCAATCTCACTACCCATCAATGTATGAGTAGGAGCAGCGTAACGGGCTCACCTTGATAATCTTCGCATGCTCCTTTTGCCAGTTGTCCAGAATGCGCTGACCAAGTTCCGAGCCCGTCAGCTCAACAAATCGCGTTATCTTCTCGCGAACGAAGACCAAATCCTCTTCGGTTGCTTCATCCAGGTCCACAGTTGCCACGTTGATTCGCTGGGTGAATGGGTCGCCTCTGCAACTGAATATTTAGCGATTGAATAAAACAGATAATACACTACAAAACTGACTGGTTGAAGAGGAAAGCGATTCCTCCGCTCATTGCAGCAGCGAAATTCCTTCCTATTGCTCCGAGTATAATTACACGACCTCCGGTCATGTACTCGCAGGCATGGTCTCCCACCGCTTCAACCACGGCGACTGAACCGGAATTTCTGACGGCAAAACGTTCTCCAGCTACTCCACGCAGCCAACATTCGCCTTAAAATGTGTGTATTAGAGAGTAGGGCTCTTCTACGAGATGGGTCATACGTGCTGACAAAGTGATCTGTTTCCCACTAGATGGGTCGAAACTCGATACCAACTCTAGTGGGAGAAGTAGCGATTACTCGCATTCTTTACTTCATCGTTGAAGGGGGATGTTAAACTCGACTGATGTTATTTCAGCTCTGCAAGTGACTACGAAGATTGCAAATATTTTTGAAATTTGTGGAATGAAGATCTGATTACACGTGAAAAATTCTGAAGAATTCCTTATCGGACATCATTTGTGCTCCCGGAGCCCACGGCTGCAGCTCTTGACTATTTCAGCTTTGTTTTGTGTCTTGACGGTAGGGAGAGCTTATGCGAATCCACTTCGTTCGAGCCAACAAAGAGCTTTGCTAACTGAGGTGTAACTCCTCTCATTGATCTTCAATTTTTTTTTCACCATATTCATGCCCCACCCTGTATACAACTAAGGCTTTTAAAAACCAGCCCCAGACCAAAAATACCGAACCCGAGGTAGCACCGTACAGCGCGACGTTGCCAATGATTGAATTTTCTTCTGATCTGTACCGTGCACATTTCGGTGGGTAGACGATAACTGTACCACCGGAGAGACACTGAAAGATAAGCCAGATTATACGGCTGCCTGTCAAAAGAATACTTTCTCGAAAAAAAAATCCGGCTTTGTGGAAGCCACAGCTTGATGGCCTATAAAGGTTTGTGTGACTCACCTTGCCAACGTAGTCGTTGGCATCGCCTTCAAGTTCCACAGTTACACCTCTAGTGAGGAAAGCACAGAATGACTGGCCAGCGGAGCCTTTAAGGGATATTTTAATCGATCTTGTGCCCTCGAGACCAACTTCACCGAAGCGCTTCGAGATCTGAAGCAGAAAATGAAAATAAACAAATTTAATACTCTCGTCAGTTGCTGCAGCGCTGACGCAAGAATTGTTTGTGTGCCTTTGAACCGCGCTTTCCAAAGCGTACATGTGTTCAGGGACCAGAATGGAGGCGCAATTCACAGACACTCCTCGTCCGCCCTTCACT